AAGGGGATGTCCAATTGCCTACAGATGGGCTTTGGGTCTCCACTCCGCACTCCCCCACTCATTCACAATGATATGATTTTTTGTTCTGATGATGCCTGATACCTGATCCCTTTGACACCTTGTGATCCCACAGGCTGGTGTGCTTCTTCCATGTGGGCTTTGTTGCTTCCCAGCTAGATGGCCACTTGTTTATCTTCAAGCCTTTAAGGCCCCAGACACTATATCTTTTGAAAGCTGGGCCCATCAGCTTTCTTCACCACATTTGCTTATGCGCACCTTTGTCTTCAGCGATCCTGTGTGGAGGTGAGCACACATGATAACCTCCAAGCTTCACACACTTCAAGTCCCATAATCCTTTGCTTCAGCCTCTTGACTAACCGCAGACTTCAAATCCTATAACCCACTGCTTCAGCTTCAGGACTAAAGACACGCCAGACTCCAAGTTCCAGAACTCACTGCTCAGGAAGACTCTATTATCGTTTTCTTTTTCTTTCATTCATTCAAACATTGTATAGACCACCCAGGGTGCCCCCAGACTTCCTGCTAGGTCCTGGGGATACATCAAAATTCAAGTCGGACATAAGTCTTTGCCTTCATGAAGTTAATAATCTTCATTCCTTAGGCATTGTGAGCGCCTCCAACACTTCTGTCCGCAAGATTCCAACGCCCATGAGAACTTAGGCTAGCTCCATAGGACTACAGCTCCCAGGAGGACGTAGGCTAGCTCCTTAGGACTACAACTCCCAGGAGGACTTGCGCGCCAAGCCGGCCCGCCCATCAACCGACTGTTGGGTCGCAGGGTCACCTGGCCCCGCCTCTGGCCCCCTCCCCGTTAAGATAGGGTATAATAAAGTCCAGTTGCAAATGTTAAAGTCTTTTTATTTTCGAATTAGGGAATTATGTGAAACCTTAGCAGCGTAGGCCAAATAGCTCATTTTCCGGAGCGGGTGGAGAGGGCTAGCCAATCCCAGGTGGCTCTGCGCGCGCCGGGAGGACTACAGCTCCCAGGAGGCAGCGCGGCACGCGGGGCGGGCCGCCGTGCTGCCTGAAGGTCCCCGGGGCGGGCGCGGGCTGCCCGGTGCGATGCCCGCAGGACCCCAGCGGCTACCCATGCCGAGGTGAGTCCGCGGGAGCTGCCGCCGCCGCCGCCGTCCCGTCACCACCACCGCCGCCGCACCGCGCGGCCCCGCCGCCGGCCAGG